GGCTCATCTAATGAAAGGTACCACTTAACTCAAACTGGAAGCTCTTCTTTAAAAAAAATATAAAAAAGAATTTGTTTTTCTTGGCAATTTAAACATATATAACAATTTAAAATGAATACACATAGTGTTTTCTCCTTGTTTATTTACTAATTCTGATCAGAAATTAAGCCAGGAAAATTGATGGTATTCATTGGATTTTAACTGAACAGAGCAGCTTCTTGTAAGTTCCTCCTGAAACTGGTAATTTATGAAGTAATTATAGCCTGACCATCTTTTACTCAGATTGAACAGAGAAAATAAAACAAAGAAACTGTATTACTTTTCCTAGTAATCTTATATTTCTTTTGTACCCTTGTATTTTCTCTCTTTAACTTCTTTCTGTAAAGTCATGCTTACCTGCTGACTATATACATCAGTTGGCAATACAGTTTAATATGTTGCCTGGATACAGATATTTGGAAATATAGGAGCACAATTTATACCTTATTTTGTTGCTAAGGAAACTGGGAAACTTTGAGATTTTTCCTTTGCAGACCAGCATCAAAAACTGGAAAAATCTATTAAGAGTTTTAGAAGAATAAACATATGTGTGACATGGGCTATTTGTGTTTCTACCCTGAGAAGTTAGTATTTATAAGCTTGTATAGCCTCTTTTTGCCTGTGGCATAAATATTGCTTTCTAAGCCTTTTTTTAGTAAAGTCTGATCATATGCAATGGCATATGGGGGTGGTCAGCATATTGAAATATAAACACAAAGCATACTTGTAAAGCATTTATAAAGGCAGGCTATAAATACAATCGTTTGGTGCTCTAAGGGATAACACTTAAGGGATTTTAGTTCTACAAACCTTCCTTTCATAATCAGCACATACGATTTGAGAAGTTCTTTGCTTATGTGAACTCTACTGGAAAATCATCTCCAGGAAAAACAAACAAGAAGTTAATATGCAGAATCTATTTTGTTTCTCCAGCTACAAGGAAATATTATTATGCCACTCTGAGATTTCCTTCAAGCAAAACTCTGACAAGCATTATTAATATTATTGAGGCAGACAGTGTGAGTGGTTAAGTTTAGTACAGCAGGAAAAACTCCGTCTGCTCTGGCCAGCCAACTGGAACTTTTAACAGGGATATATCATTGTGTGCCAACACATAGCTGCTCATGAAAGAGAATGTTCTCTTCCAGACTATTCCTTTCATAAAGCTTAGCATTCTTGTTAGAGATCATCATCTTCTAAAAACTGCTCAGCTCGCTGGTGACTGCAGGAAGCACCTTGTCTCCTGTCTCTATACACAGAGCCCAAATAGTGCTAAAAAGGGAAATGGAACATATGGTAATAAACTCTCTGAAGCTTTGATGCCAGGTTGTAATCAGCAACCAGGGTAAGAGAGATACTGGCAACCATGAACTCTCCCCCCAGGGCCTCATTAACAAGGCCAACTGTGCCACAGTGGAGGAAAACAGACTTGAGGAAGACGGCATCCTTTTGAGGTGAACTCTAGATTTTTCTTTGGCTGGAAGGATGAAGGATTGGAAGGAAAGATAGCTTCATAAAAATAAAGCCTGACAAAAACTGCTGCTTTAGTGACCCCTTTATCAAGTGTCTGCTCATTTGGCAATGTATACATTGATGTGCTTTGGAACATTCACTTAGTCTGAAGGTGATATAGAGTATCGAACCAGATGGAATTTGAAGATTCACTGTCTGGCTTCTACTCACTGGCACCATGTGGTGGTGAGAGGTCTTTCTTTACTTCAGCTGCCCATAGGTGGAAAAGAGTGGGACACTGGGAGTGAGTATGCCTGGCTAGTGTTCCCTAGAATCCTCCTGTCACAACCCTGTGCTCCTCCTGCATGTGAAGGCATTGCATTGCAGCCATTTCTTTTTTCCTGTGGGAATGAGAAGACAAAAGAATGATTTTATGGATAGTGCCAAGACAGTATTTCTTTTTCTTCATTTTAAATTTCAAAGGGCTGTCTTGCACATAAGTTGTTCTGAGGGGAACAGATATTATCCATGTACATTCTGTCACTTCACATTCCTCCAGCTCCTAACCTTTTAACTTATTAGAGATAATTTCCCGAAGTGTTATGGCTTTACAGTGTGACTCTCCAGAACTCATCTCCTACCACTTTACCCTTTGTTCACTCCATGTGCCACGGGAGCCTCCTTGCAGCTCTTAGAGTGTGGCTGGTACACACAGAGCCTCTGTGTGTGTTCGAATCCAGCCATCCATGGCTGGCTCCCTCCTCCTCAGGTCTTCACATTAGTGTCTCCTTTTTAGTCAGTGCGCTTTGTTTCCTACTGCACATGGCTTCCCACCTTCTACTTGCACAACCATTGAATTTCCCTTAAATTTTCTCACAGAATGCCTTATACTTTGACTTTTTGTTCCCCCAAAGACATGGTCAAATCTCAACCTGTAGTATCTAAAATTGTGATTTTATGTGGATATAGTGGCTTTGCAGATATAATCAGATCAAAATGAAATTATGAGAATTGGCTGTACTCCTACAGGGCTTACATCTTTAGGAGAAGAGAAACACATGAGGCAAAGACAAAGACACAAGAAAACATGTGTGATGGTAGAGCTGACATTGAAGTGATACAGCAGAAAACCAAGGAACACTGAAGATTTACTAGCATCAGTCATATGGATAACTCACAACTACTGTGGAATACTGAACTATATTGGATTGTTTTGCTGAATTCATACTCCTACAATATTTAAATGGCAATGGAATACCCGTCTCTGACAAAACTAAACAAAAAGAGGAGATACAAATGAAGAAACATTTTGTCTCTGTTTATACAAAATAGTTAGGATAGATGCACAGCTACTTGCTTTTAATTCAATGAGAAGATTTGTACCAATAGTGTTTGGACAGGATATCATGTCTGCATCTTGTACTATGAATAACCACTATGAAGACAACAATATACAATGTATTAATTATTGAAATTATTCTACTAATCAGTTTTGAAACTATCTCATTGCTATTTGTTTCTCAATAAAATTAATAGAAAAGGCAAACAATAAAATCTTTTTTTAAAATTTTTTTTAGTTATTTGCGGGGGGGAGGCAGCTCAGCCCACCAGGGGGCAGGGCTGGCTGGCATGTGGTGCTGGGGGATTGAACCGTGGTCCCTGCGTTTTGCTAAGCTTGTTCTAAGTAGGTGCTTTAGACCACTGAGCCATCTCACCAGCCCCTAAAATCTTGATTAATATATAAAAAAGATTTCCTGGTACTACTATAAGATATATAGAGGCAAGAAAGGATTCTACTTGTAGTTGTAGAGGGAACATGGACAAGCTGATTTGTTCCTTTTGGACTTTCAGCCTAATCATTGTAAAACATAAATTTAGGTCATTCTATGTGGTACTGAATTCTGAAGCGAGCCACATATCTGGTACTTTGAAAGAAACTCGTATTATCACAGTACCTGCTGTATCCCATATTTTATCTATTTACTATGCTTATTGTCTGTTTGCCTGACATGTAGCTCTGGCTCTTTGTCCCACATCACAGTGAAATACTCTGGATGTGACCCAATCTCCCTTCTGCCTAAAGACTGATCAGACACAAAGCTTCATTGGTGAGCTTGCTAAGGAACTTCATAAACATAAGCTGAAAATTCTAGCTCTTTTCCAAGGATAGGGGGAGAACAGCCTGAGATTATACCAGCTTGAAGACTATGTAAAAAGCCATCCATGTGTGCTCTGCCTAATGCAAGCCACCTACCTGGACCAGATAATGAAAGTTTAGGAAAATGCCTTTGTATTAGAGATAAAAACATGGATTGCTAATCAGGAGATAGAAAGAATACACACCACAGACAAACCAGGGGAGTTATAATGATATCTTGTCAGGAATTTGCTCATTTTATTTTTTCCTTGTGCTCTCTGTTCTAATAGCTTTAAATTTTTTCATAGTACTCAGTGTCTCAATAACCCTATGCCCCAAAGGAAAGTGTGTTATATTTGTAACACAATATTCTATGCAGTACTGAATTCTGAAGCTAACCATGTTAGGATAGCAATGTACATTGGGCAGAACATTGCTCAAGATTGCTTTAGAGCATTTAAATGACACAAAAAACAAACATCCATCATTCTAGAAATACCCCTTACTTTGTTCCTGGTCTGTAAATATAAATGGAACATGTTAGGGGCAGAAATAGTGAGGAACACAAAAGGTAAGAAAACAAAGACTCTTATGGCAGTATAGAGTAACATCTGGGTAATAAACATTGGAGGTGAATTGAACTTAAATTAGATTCTAAGACTCAGTTACTCTGGATGGTCACTAACCATAAATCTTAAATTATCCTGCAATAATAAATACCTCAATGTGTGGTTGTGGAGTCTAAATGAAATAACCATGGAAAATAGCTCAGCACATGACAAACAGTACACCCTGTTAGAATGTCTTCTAAACCAGCTTTTTTTTAACTTAGAGATTTATTTTAACATAGTGTCAAAGAAAATCTAGTGAAAGACTCATCTCACTGCTTAGAACTGCTCAGAATTTCCTCTGAGGTAACAATCTGAGTGTGCTGTTGACAGTAACTATTATCGTGGGAACGGAATCATTCACAGCCTTTCTGCTTGAGGACTGTGCCGCTTCTCATCATTATCCTTTTCATCTTACTTGACGATTAATGCATAATCTAATGATCCTTTCACTGAAATAGTCCTTTTGATGACAGGGTTTTCAAGGTGTTTTCCAGTCACTTATTAATGAGGCAGATCCACTCATTCTGCTATATCCTATCACTGAGAAATTTCCAAATTTCAGAGGAACAGACGATTTTCTATTGGAAACAGTGGGATTTTCTAGAGGTGATAAAAGGGCAGCCTCATAAATTCTAGTGAATCATGTTGAAAGTAAAAAGATTAGTTCAAGAATTAAATTTATAATTTTTGAAGAAAGCTGAAGACAGTCACCTTTGAGAATACCAGAGGGTTTGGGTAGCTGAGCCGAGATATGGTTTGAGATTCTACCTGGAGTTGACATCATGGGCCTGTGGTTGGTCATTCCCAGAGTGGCCACTGCATGCATCCACCGGTTCAGTGATGGGGGCAAGGAAAAAAGGATTGCCCACTTTCTGTATCAGTGGAGTTTGATGGAAAGAGACAGGCTCATCTCTGGAGTTAACCATTACTGTGTGTCAAAGGGTTTGTAGAATATTGATTAAGGAAACTTTTTCCTGACTGGTGAAAAAATAACTCAGTTACAGTCATCTCACCTTGCTGGAAAGTTTAAGCAGTATATTACGTGTCGTGCAGTTTAGTTTAGTGAGCTTTGTAATGTTAAAAACAAAATGAGAAACAAAAACAAAACAAAATAAATTTATAACTTTTGCCTTTCAAATGTTGACTCATTGCACATTCTCTTGAAATACTTTCACAGAATGCCTGGATGGTTATGTGACATGGAAACAAGGCTCCTGCAGGTTTAGCCTCCCTATTTTAATTATCATCCTCTATCAGGTATCATAAATTCTGATTCTCTCACATTACTTTTTCCTCTTTTATTTCATATCATGATAAACAGGAAGATGGTGATAAAAGAAATATGTTGCTTGCTTTAGCTTATGATATTTAAGAATTTATATTCTTTTAAAATTACTATGAATGTGCTATATATAATGAACAGATTCACTACAGAGGTTGGGGCATATATACATTTTGCATCTTCATCCTTTTTCTTTCCCTTTCCTCTCTGCTCCCTTATGCCCCATCCTTACATCCCTTTCCCAACTCTGCAAAGTCTATCTTCCTGGTTTTTTTTTAATCATCTTTCATTTATTTTGCTCTTTAAATTCTTCGTTTTTTAGGATTTCTTGTATAAGACAAGGCATGCAATAGTTAAACTGTGCCTATTGTTTTTCACTTAGCATTATAGATTCAAGGACAGGCATCCTTTTTTGAGGCAAGTACGTACCTGTTGGGCTAGCTACTTAGACATGGTCTGTTGTGGTCTCTTCAGAAGTGGTTTCTTTACGAGTGAGAATTTGTGCAAATGGATGCCTTCAACATTCCATGCTTTCACTATTAGAAAATATCCTGCTGACATATTTAGCATACAATAGAGTAGATGTACATCTGATCTGATATAACATATTAATGTATTATCAATTCATGATACATTATGTATTTACTTACATATTATGTTTTTGTCCATGAGCACTTATGAGAATTTAAGTCCATGAGAAGAGTGACATTTACCTATTTCTTCATTAATAAAGCCTGGAATGGTGCTTTGAATGGTGCCTAGCACATAGAAGGCATTTACTAACAGTGTTGTATAAATGAGTGAATCCATTAAAAGCACTTTTCATAGCACTAGCAAATAGTACTACAGCTGCTATTTTAAGAACTTCAGATTAATTAAAATCTGAAACTAGATGTGGCGTTTGGCATGTGTGTCATAACAAGTGGGAAGAGACCAAATTTATCAGACTCAAAATTAGGAAAAGTCTGTGATACTTACGAATTGATCACATTTTGTCCTGTCTCTAAATATAGAGAGTGGAGGACTGAATTTTTCAGTTTTTAAGAAAAACTAAAAAGGGTCTTAATGCATTGCATCACCATGATCACTGTTATGGTTTGTGTCTAGTTGTCTCCCCAAAAGCCTCATGCAGTTATGAGGCAGCTTCTAGAATTTGTGATTAAATCATGACCCAATGCTGTGATTACGGGAGTGAGTACTATCCATGTCCTGAGGCAGATGATGTTCATACCAATGTAAGGAAGGGAGAGGGGCTTGCTAGCTGCTGCAGCTGCTGCCACTCCCTTTGCTCTTTGTTGGTTTCCGCTGCCGTGAACTGCTGTCCTCTGCCATGTGCCGCTCTGCCTTGGAGCCAGCTGAGTACAGATTGAAACCTCCACTAACTGTGAGTTAAATAAACCTTTCCTTTCTTAATTCTAGGTGTTGGGTATTTTATCCCAGCAACGAGATAATAACTGAGACAATCATGCAGTTAGATTTTTGGATAGGAACTTAAATATTTTTATATGAACACTTTCAAAAGGTATTTGTTAACTACGTGCTATCAGGCAAGTCATTAATGTCACTGTACAATTTTAATTTCAAAAGTGACAAAAGGTCTAAAAGGTGACTTGTGATGGAGTTCCTACCTAAAGCACAATGTTGGGTGTAGTCCCTTGATCGCCATGTAGACTGACTCTAAACAGGTCTAAGATGAAGAAAAATAAAAAGGCAAAATACCAGGTAAGCTACATTTATGAAGTCAACCTTTGGTTCAGTAAAATTTCACTTCAGCCCTCTGTAAACTTGTGACAAAGGCTCTGTGTTTTGTATGTTTTCTCCACCTCCATTATTCTTTTCTTTTCCCTATTTCTCCTTCCTAAGGTATAATGTTTGTTCTGTATCTGCTGCTCTGATTCTTATGTAGTGTCATAGTCTTATAAGAATCTTATTCTTATATAGTGTCCCAAGGCTGAAAACTAGACTCAAATATTTTCCCTACAGGTATAAAATGGTAGTCAAATAATTATGAGAACTTAGATGAAACATCAAAAAGTTTTTAAAGGCACAATTTACCAAAATCAATATGAAGATATACATTTATATCTGACAATTAAACTGAATTCATAATAAAAATCCTTCCATAGAGACAACCTCAGGCCGAAATTACCTCACAGCTTAATTTCTCCAAGTTCAAGGGGAAAATGTCACCATTACCACGTAGTCATAGAAAAAGTAAATAAAAAAGAGTTCTTCCTCATTTTACTTCAAATAATCATTTTAATCTTGATATTGAAACAATAAGGGTATTATAGGAAAAATGTTGTTTCTTTATTTATCATGAATGTAGACTCAAAGTTCCTAAATATAAGAAATCAAAATACAGCAATATAGAAATGACATAATACACACTTACCTAACTAATTTTATTTCAGAAATGCAATCGTAATTTAATAGTTGAAAACAAAGTATTCAATGAAATGCCACAAATGACTATAAACAGAAAATGTCACGTTATTAGTCAGATAGATGCAAAAAGGTACTTGACAAAACTCAGCATCATGATTTAAAATGCATCCACACATACCCCCCCAAAAAACCATGAGGGATTTGAAACTAAAAGACAATTTTATGAATGTGAGTAAAGGCATCTACAACAACTTAGAACTGATGTCATGTTTGAGGATGTAGTGTTGAGCTTTTTTCTCTAAATTTGGGACTAAGACAAGGATGTTCATCATCATTTCTATTCAACTTAATTCTGAAATTTCTAGTCAGTCAAAAAAAAGTATAATAGGGACCGGGGAGATGGCTCAGTGGAATATGCGCTTCCTTGGCAAGCGCAAGGGCCTGAGTTCAATCCCCGGTTCCACAAAAAAAAAAAAAAGTGTAATAAAAACTATTGAGACATTAAGGAATAAAGTAAATGAGTCTACTTTTATATAAACATTATAGAATTATGTACATAAATTCTAAAGAAGTCATAAGCTATTAAAATCAAAACTATTGACCCTTCTAGTAAAAAGGGTCAATACAGAAGTTCTTTATTTCCGTATGCCAGCCAAAGATAAGAAAAGAAAATTAGATAAAAGCAAAACGTCATCCAAAAACTCATGCACTTCTGACTTCAACTTAAAACACTCTATGTAAGACATAAAGTGAAAATAATGTTGCTAGAAGAAATGAAATTAAAACTATAATGAAATGGAAAGATATGCCATGCTTAGAATTGGAATACTCAATATTTGGAGATGCCATATTCCTCAAATTGTTCTATAAATGTGGTACATGCCCCACTCATAACTCTACCAGGTTTGCCTAGCAATTGACAAGCAGGGCATGGAATTTATGGAAGTCAAAGAACCTAAATTATTTTTAGGTGATATTATAGAACTTAGCTAATGCACATACAAATCAGATTTTCAAGACTTACTGTTAAGTACCAGTCATTAACACTCTGTAGTAACAGGTGAGGAGAGACAAATAGATGAATGAGACAAAATTAAAATTCTAGAAATAGATTCACACATACATTCCTGGAATAAAGGTGCTACTGTAGTTACATGGGAAAATGGCAGTATTAAATATCCACATAGAAGAAATGAACCTTTTTTTATTGTACAAAATCCACTAAAATCAATTTGAGATGAACAATGGAACACAGACTCATGTGGGAAAAGCAGAACAATAAAGTTTCAAGAATACAAAACAGTATATTCTGTGCCCTTAGGATATGCATGGATATCTATCACTAAGAAAAAAATACCCTCTGCTAAACTGTATAACAAAAGTGAAAAGCAACATTTCAATTTATCAAAAGATACCAATCATTAGTAGAATAAAAAGAGAGGCCATAGGAAAAGATAGTTGCAATTTGTACATGTGACATAGGGCTGACATCCTCAATCTAGAAGGAGATCATGTAAATTAATATGAAAGAATCTATCCAAATATTTTAAATTCAGAGTTTTATAAGTAAGATATTCAAATAACTAATAACTACATCCAAATAACTAAGATATCTAAAGAACTGATAACTATCAAAAGATAGTGTTATTACTTATCAGGATAATTCAAATTAAAGTCATAAAAAGTCATAACACTTTGTAGCCACTAAATTGGAAGAAAAAATAATTTTTTTGTACCAGGAACTGAATTCAGGACCTTATATTTTCCAGACAAACATAGTCCCACTGAGTTATATCCATGCACCCCATTAAAAAAGTTTAAATTATTAATTATAAGTTTTATTCAATATTGATGAGAGCATAAATTGAAATGAGTGCTTTGAAAAAGTTAGTAGTTTCTATTAACTTGTATTTTCTATAATTCTGGAATTTTGTTCTTGCTAAAAACGCTAGAACTGAAATGTACACCAAAGAACTCCCTTTGATAATGGTAATAGAGTTATTATTCATTATTTCCAGGTATGGTGGCACACATCTGTAACCCCAGAATTTGTGAGGTTGAGGCAGGAGGATGGTTGTGAGTTCAAGGCCAACTTGGGCTACAAAGCGAGCTCAAGGCCAGCCTGAACTGCATAGCAAGACCCTGTCTCAAAAAGTAAAAAAAAAAAAAAAAAA